ATGAGTCGTTGATAAGAGGTGCTCAGCTCGGGATTTAACTCTCCGTTAACTCTGTAAAAGCTGCCTCGTGATGATGAATAGATGCTCTTGTCGATGCAGAGAATTATGGAGTGGCCACTGTTCTCCGACCTGAGCCATATCTCGCACCCTCAACTCACTCCATGATTCCAGCAATTATTTAGGTGTGACCTGGGGGTAAAGTCGGTGCCGGTTCAGTGACGTAGACGATACAGGACCCGTTTGCTGTGTTACCGTTCACGTCTGAACCGATAATGCACGCACTAAAACATGGTCAGAGGTTGATTACGATTCGGTTCAAGTGTGTCTCATTCATGGCTGTCAGCTTGCCAGAATCGGAGAGCTCAAATGACTCTGGACCACAAAGGAGACTGGATTTCATTTTAGTCATATACTTTGCTTTAATGGTAATAACCGTCCCTTCCACCACGACCTATTACCTGAGATGACCACAATCGGCTTACCAACATGGATGCAGCAGCACAAGGCATGAAACATAAGTGAGGGGGCAAGTTGTAACAAATACCTAGGTTAGTAATTAGATAGGCCTCAGGGAGCAAGAAAACATCAGACCCTAATATAAGGTGTTAAAATACACTAAGTAAAATATAGACCGAGTTTATCCTAACTTTATGCCAAGTTACCGAAGTCTTTTATTATTTAGGATTAATATCCTGAGTTTTCTTTCCTCCCCTAAATAGGTCATCATGAGCCAAGGATTAGGTTCCTAGCTTTAACATGGTTTAGCATTTGTTAACATTCCTTATTTAGCTTTGACTAGTAATTTAAGTTCCTATCTACCCTATATTGCAATTATATAGAAGTAGCATATATTCCTCGTGTTATGTAACAGAAAGACAACAGCTTTATTGATATCTACCTAGTAGTATATAACCTACCTAGGTCAGTACCTAGTTTCCCCTTTTTCCTTGTTTTTTCAACCTTTTTCTTCGCTAAAATAAGCTTGACCTTGAGCCCATGTGTGTGCAGTATGTGCGCAGGTGTAACCTCTGCATGAGCGTCCATGTCCTCAGACTGAAGCCAGTGCATAAATATTACTTGGCTGGGTATCACTTTACTTTTATAGAGGAACATCCTGGTTACTGGAGATCATTTAGACATCGCTCCTTATGAGTGAGAAGCACACATACCACCCCATCCATAGGTTCACACAAGCTTGATTTCTTAACCACATGGTCTCTACTGGGTAAGTACCAACTTTAGAGCGGTGGCCTACCAATTCAAAACGATTGATATTCCATAAGTCATTCAGTAGACCAACACGTATTGCATACTAGATTTAATATCCAGGAACACGCAGAAATGAGCTGTATCTGCTCAGTTACTGTGATAGGATCAAGGTACTTAGCATGTTCACACAAAAGCATTGATCCTATACAGAAACCGTAGCTAGACAGGATGCTAATAGCTTACCACACGAACTAGTCTCCAGATAGAAACATAAGCAGTTATAATTAGACCCTTTTCACAATAAACAGTCAGACCGATGGCCAAGACATGCCATATCATATGAGGCGAGGTGTTTGTTATTCACAAGCTTGGCGACATGACTGTAGCCAGTGGTCAATATACGGCAGGGTTATTACCTATAAAATGTTTATGGAAAAAGTTAAGACGTGGGCACTAAGGGGATATGCCATGTTCATAGCAAATATTGCGAGTCTCACAGCATGTAAGTTATATTGATTCTAGTTATCAGCCATTTTAGCCTATCCGCATCATTCCAACAACTACTACTTATGTACAAGAACAGGAAATCCAATCACGTATGGCATAGAAGCTCATCATATGCCTCATTACTGAGAAAGGGGGTAATGGGTCATGTCAAGTGTTGAAATTTAATAAATGGTTGGAGCTATGGTACGGTACATATCGTTATGACTCAAAAGGTATGACGAAGCCCTGCCTAGGTACTTAGGTAGTAGGGAGGCCTGGGAGGTGAGGTATCTTCTTTATTGGTGCGGGGCATTATTACTCAGTAGGTACCTAGGAAATACAAACCTGACTGATGGCGGGGTCCAGAAAAAAGTTCTGGTAAATCCAGAAGGTGAAAGCGCCTACTTTACTAACCCACTGTCTTTAGGTATTAACTACCTCATTTCTACTCAAGTCTCAGCAACTCAACGCAGCGGCCACTGTTTCCCTGCTCTAACTTCTTCCATCTTATAAGCAAACCGCCTATCATGTCTCGCCAGATCCAACAACCATCCAACCAAATTAAGCTCACAAACGTCTCCCTCGTGCGCCTCAAGAAGGGAAAGAAGCGCTTCGAGCTCGCCTGCTACAAGAATAAGGTCCTCGAGTGGCGATCTGGGATTGAGACAGATCTCGATAATGTTCTTCAGATCCCAAACGTCTTCCTCAACGTGTCCAAGGGCCAAACAGCGCCTCGTGAGGATCTCGACAAGGCTTTTGGCAAGGGCAAGTCTACAGACGACATCATCCTCGAGATTTTGAAAAAGGGCGAGATGCAAGTCGGCGAGAAAGAGCGCGCGGCGCAGACAGAGCGGGTGCACAACGAAGTTGTCAGCATAGTCGCTAGCAAACTGGTCGATCCGAGAACCAAGCGCGTTTACACTTCTGGCATGATCGAGAAGGCTCTCGACATGCTCAGCTCACAGGCTCACACCGCGACACCAGACAAGAGCGCTGCCGGAAGTGCTACTGGAACACCTGCGACCGAAGAAGCGGGCGAAGCTAAGCCCAGGGCCCAGCACAACTGGACGGGGGTTAGCACGACCAAGAGCGCAAAGAGCCAGGCTCTTGAAGCTATGAAAGCCCTCATCTCTCATCAGCCCATTCCAGTGGCGAGGGCACGCATGAGGCTTCGTATCGCCTGTACCACCAACGTCCTCAAGCAAGCCGTGAAAGGAGCCAAGGGAGCCAACAAGGAAGAAGATGGCGAGCAAAAGGCCCTGGGGACAGTCAAGGACAAGATCCTCAGTTACGTTGAGCAAGTCGAGAGTCAAGATGTCGTTGGTTCGGAATGGGAAGTGGTAGGCTTTGTAGAACCTGGGGCCTTTAAGCCCCTATCTGACTTTATTGGCAATGAGACCAAGGGACAAGGAAGAGTTGAGGTTTTGGATATGGCTGTCACGCACGAGGATTGATCAACAAACACATTTAAGAAATCAAAAGAAAAACCATGATACCCTCGCCTAGAATCATACAGTATCTTTTCCTTTCCGTAGAAATACCCATGCTGCCCCCAGCTTACGCTGTCGTTGACTTCGTAGAACCCATAAACTTCACGTATTTGTAGCATGGACACTCCCTGCTCCCTCATTGAACATCTTTACTTGAATACTTTTGATTCGTGACTCTGATCTAGAGTACAGCCCTTGCTTTGGCTGCATATGCCAGAAAGCAAACCTCTCAAAATGCTCAGAAAGATGGAGAAACCAGCCGTCACGCCTGTCCACCCATAACCAACACCCATAAAAAGCTTAACCACCCTTCTTCTTGGAGACACCGACGGTCCTGCCACGGCGACCAGTGGTCTTGGTGTGCTGACCGCGGACACGGAGACCCCAGTAGTGTCGGAGACCACGGTGGGCGCGGATCTTCTTGAGGCGCTCGAGATCCTCACGGAGCTTTGAGTCGACACCGTTAGCAAGAATGTGGGAGTCCTTGCCATCGACGATATCGCGCTGTCGGTTGATGAACCACGTGGGGATCTTGTACTGGGTGGGGTTTTGGAGGATGGTGACGATTCGCTCGAGCTCTTCAGAGGTGAGCTCACCAGCGCTATGAATTATTGTCAGTATATTTTGTGCATCTCGTGGGTGTGAAAACTCGCGTACCGCTTGTTGAGATCGACATCGGCCTTCTTGCAGACCAAGTTGGAGTATCGGCGACCGACACCCTTGATCTTGGTCAAGGCGTACATAACCTTTTGCTTTCCGTCAACATTGGTGTTGAGAAGACGGAGGATCTGTCTATCGTTAATATCTGCTTCTTTCGGGTTTCATGTCTCATCATCGATTTCGATGCACACAACGCTGAATAGGATGGCACGAGCGCATTCGAGCGCAACGGTGTCGAATTCGTTGTCGATGAAATGATGCTAGAGAGGATGACTTACGAACTGGAAGTTCGACTTCTCTCCCGAGACGAGCGACATGATGGGCAACTTCTACCGGGCAGTTGCCGTATGCTCGTTGAATTCGATGATCGGGTGTAGAAGATAGAAGACTGAGTTGCCCTCGCTTAAGAAAAAAGGCTGTGGGTGGGTACTAGGGCAAGTGCAACTTTAGGCTGCGGATGGGTAGTTGATCCGTGGTCAGAAGGTAGGATCTGGTAAGTCACGTGATCTACCTGATTCAGAGCTTGGGTCCCCTGTTCCTGACTCATCCAATTTGAACTCAAAGTTTTTACACTGTCAGATACGATTTCTTCAGGTTCAACGCTCAAGAACCACTACGGTACGAATGACTACCTATACTTTGAGAAGCGCCTCGAGTCCGCGTCTGGCTCCAACATGAAGGACTTCCACCATAAGACCAGGTAGGACTTTGCTCATCATATGCTGTCAACTTGTGCAGCCCAACATCCGTACTTTGTCGTCTTTTTCCATCGCTCGGTCAGCTCAGCTCGCCAGCTGATCTTGAGCCGGATACCTCACCTCGGTGGTGGTACAAGACAAGAGCAATATTGCAACGTTTTTTGAGTACGGAGTCTTTAGTGTTTTCACCAAATGGAGTCTTCCGTAATTTGACTGTTGTTACATTCCCTAAGGTAGATTAGTAATTAACCTATCTATTCCCGTTTATTTGTGTACCAGCATGCATCCTTCTATGCTTAGCCTGTCAAATCAACCTGTCCATGAGGACAAGGATCAGTATGTCTATTCCTTACGCCTTGCTCCAAACTCAGGCCAATTCATTTCCTGTTCTGCACATGTAGTTGGGTGTCACCGTTCTCGCAAATTCTCAGCTTTCATGGCTCCCCTTCCTGACCACCTAGAATTCATCAAGCGGGTCGTAACCCTACTGACATCAGCATTAAACGGTTTCTGTCGGTCAGGAAAAACAGACCTTTTCTTTCTTGAGTTGATGAGCAAGCATTTCTGAGAGATTCGCTCTATCAGTCTCAGCGGTGAGGTTGGTGCTCCTTGTTTGAAGGTGGATAACTGACACCTCCTTGAGGCCCCGAATGGTCAAAATCTCGTCTAATCCTAGAATGTCGGTGATCCTGACATGGCGATAGGATAGCGGGAAGAATTGCTTCATCAGATCGGCTCGTGGACTGAGGTTGGCAAGTGTGGACTTCGAGATGCTGATGGTCAAACCCTCGAGCTTATCACATTCTGCAAGCTTTTTGAAAGTTCTTGCCGACTTGGGTCCGCACCAGTGAACCTTGATGTCACGGACATTCTGCACAAGCAGAGAATTGCTGTCGAGATGATACAAAAGTTCGCAGCAGCAGCGGAAACGGACAGCCTTCTTCCGGAAGAAAATGCGAAAGAATTCGTGATTGAGTGCTGGACCCAAGATAGATGGCAAAGCCTTCATCTGAGGAGTGTGGAAGGACCCGAATTCGCGTTCCAGCTGTGGACAGTTGCAGCTCACTTTTCGTGAGCTGGGTTTGATACCCTTGGATTTGAAGACGGTATCAACCATCAAGTCGACAATATACTCTCGGATCTCTGCAGGTAGTCTCATGAAAGGAAAGCCCTCGATGGGTGGTGGTCGGTCTAGGTCAGGGAGTCACTCGCTGCTTCTTGGGAACGGTCGGCCAGATACTAGGGGATTACTTACCGGCAATTTCGAGGATCTCGGTGCACATCTCAATGATGTCGACACAGGTCTTGGACTCTTGGGGGTCCTTGTTGATCATGCGCGCGCACTTGGCTATTGTTGCAGCAACTGATTCTCTGCGACGAGGACTCAGGCGGACCATGCTCCCCAGCTCTCCAGCGTCGATAATTCCGGCGTGAAAGCTTTCCAAGCCCTGAAGGAGGACTTGAATGTTCTTGGTCAAGCCATACCGCGTATGTACGGCCTTGGACTTGAGGGCATACCAAGACTTGCTCGACATGGCGACGGTAGTAAGGGGACGCGATATACCTGAAAGCCACGACGGTTGTTTTCGATGTTGGTGTGGGAAAGCAAGTCAGGAAAAGATGACGGTGTCGAGAAGATCATGCAGCAAGCCAAGATAATCTTTTCGAGTGAAGGAGCTCGCCTACCAAGACGCCATATTGATTCAGTAACTCAGGCAATGCCTAAGGTAGGTACCTAGGTACCTAAAGTACTCAGCCAATTCAATGTTGGGACTGAAATCTAGGTATAGACGGGGTCAATCACAGTGGAGGTCAACGTGGTCTTCGCAGCAGGAGCCTGCGCGCAGTGTCAAAATCTGCCTTCCCGCCCGTGCATGCGTAGGTACCTCTTACCTCACATTAACCTTAGTACTTAGTAGGTACTTCAGGTACTTAGGTAGGTAGGCACCTTAGGTAGGTACTAACCTTTGAGGTGCTGCCTTCCATGACAACAGGAAAGTTATTGACCCGAGTCGATGGCAGGTACCAACTTTGGTGGAACCTCAAATGATTGAGACTACCTACTATATAAAGGCGAAAGAAGAGGCAGTTGGCCAAATCAGTACATAGCTGTTCGAGCTTGGTGAGATGCCAATAACGCAGCGCAAACAAGCGGCAGTGGCATTGGCGGGTAAGCGCAGATACATAAATGATGATAACGACAACGGCGATATGGAGCTGGAGTTGCAGTACATCAGTGCACCGATAGTACTAATATATATCCATGGTTTACTCTGTGTTACATCGAATTTCCACTGTCAAGTTATCCATCAACTCTTTAATATCTAGATGAGTACTAGGCTTATGCTTACTTAACGTAAAAATGAGTTCCATTCTTTGTTATATGGTTGTTCTGGTTCCTGGTTGTCAACACATGGATTCTTGATGTTAGTGAAGTATCAGAAACATCCTTGGGTGACGTTAAAGGGAGCTAGCTGCTCTTTGTTCGGCCTGGAATAAGGCCTATTTGGCCACGGAAAATGCAAAGGCCGCATTGAAAGCAGCGCAATTGTGACATAAACGCTCTTTCTGAGACAATTTAACACAATATCGCAATCGATATTGTATTAATCGTTATACATACATTAACTATGGACTCCATTGTTGTGCTAACTCAGGGATTCCTGGCCGACTAGGACGACAGCAAGTTAGCACTAAACTGGCCCTATTGAAAGCAGCGGCTGAAGTTTGACCTCAAATGACACACGAGAGGAAGTTTGTTTGTAAAACAAGTAGACTTTTATTGGTCTATTCAATTCAACGCCTTTTGGTCTATTTCCCCTGTGCATGACCAAAGTGATATGCAAAACTCCTCAAAACAGTCGCTAAATCCAATATGCTATATCCCAAGCCACACATGTCGTGGCATTTCAAATCATTTCATGCGGTTTTCATTCGGTGCCCGAGACACCGTCGTCGGAGAAGACGATAAGAAAGACAGCCAATGCGCACTGCTTTTATTTGGTGTCTTTTGTTGTTATGCTCTAGTGCAATGATTAAAGGGGAAGTTCTGAGGTGGTGTTGCTCAGATCGTCAGCTAGTGTTCCTGTTTGGGTGGGAACAGGGGATGATCTTTGAGATGGTTGCATCACTCGATCGGTGATATGTCGTGAACAGAGACGGCTTCCAGAGTCGTGATAGGATGGCGGATGGATAAAATGTAACGCTCAAGGCGAGGATCTTCTAATGGAGGTAGCTGATTTGGTGTGCCTCAGTAACGTTTGCGGGCTTTTGGTGGCAGACGTTGAAACCGGTGTTCTAGAACTCTTCCAAGATTCGCCGCTATCGACAATAGGCGTGCCCGCATGCCCGCCCATCCACTATCACAGACCTTGCCATTTCAGGAAACGGTCTACGATGATTTGACGGAGGAAGACGACGAAGAAGTCTGATCATCGCTTTCGCTGTCGCCTTCCAGTGAGAAGTCAACAACGCTGGGGGCTCTGGTGCAGCAAGGGCTGATGCCAATGAAATTGTCCTCTTCGATTTGCTCAGGACACGAGGCACCAAAGGTAAAGTCGAAGTGAGAGAGCATCTCCTGGTGCTGGAGATTCTGTGCGGTCATTGGCTTCTCGCTAGGGTGGGTGATCTTCTTTCCCTTCTTGTTCTTGGTCTTGCGCTCCTTGGTGGCATCCTTGTCCTTAGACCCCCACGTCCAGGTACGGGACAGCTTGTTGACGAGTGATGATTTTGATGAGTCGGACTTGTCACTGTTCTGGCTGGACTTGGTCATGGTAGCTGTGATCTTTCCTGGGGTGTTGGCGTCGACGATGTTTGTGCTTGAAGCGTCGGAGCGCACAGCGCGGCGGAAGTGCTCTCGGATAGCCATTGTGGATTATATGTTGTGGTTGGCTGTAAAGCAGGGTGTCTCGTGTGTTGTTATAGGGAAAGGTGTAAGCTCGATGATGAGTATATGTTGTTGAGTTGTTACGATCGAGGCAATGAGCTGGAATTGACAGGATCCTCAACTATGAAAGTGCTGGAGATGGTATTGGCGATCGTTTATCATAAATAGATGGAAAGAGACAAGTGCAGCAGCCAGGACATTTAAAGGAAATCCCTGGAGACTGGAGATAGGAAAACCCCTCAAAGCCTTCGGTCGTTTCGGCCTGTATCCATCCAATACGTCCTACTCTCCGGCGGCGCCTTGGAAAACCTGGGCTTGGTTGTGGAGGTGGAACCGTCTTGGGGTCCCTGGTCCCTGGGTACAAGTGGTACATTGGGGCGTCTTTTGGATTGCCTCTGGGTCTGGTAGCCCCTGGGCATGAAGACGCCGCACTGTGATTAGCCCAAGAGGGTGTCGGGGGCGGAGAATAGCGGAGGAGTCGGCGGCTTATACGGGGTCAGACCCTCAATGAGGTCAGTGTTGGCCAGAACAACTGTATGGAGAAACCCTGCAATGTCGGACCGGGGAGTTGGTTTTGGTACAAGGAGTACATTACTGCCCTCGCAACCCTCTCGCGGTTAACCATGTCGTGGTGGATGGATCGGAAGTAACAGTTTTAAGCAACATTGCAGATCCACGAGTTGTAGACACATGTTGAGGCTACACCACCTATGCCACTATTGGTAAACTATCAGCCTCAAAGGGGCAGGCCGCAGGAGGGCGAAAGATTGTTTCCTGCCTCTTGGCTTTTAGCCGGTGATCATTTCCATGATCGCTCTGACAGTGACAAGGGTGCTCAAGTGAGATTGCGATTGCAGGCACCAGAGTTTCGTGCATGTCGACTGGCCCAGGCTTGGCTGACAGAAAATGGATCCAATAGCGAGCCTTGTTTCTCCCATTTCACCATACTATGTAACTATAACCATAGCCGAATGTGTCCGGTAGTCGATGTGGAAGTCAGCGGAAACATGGCGTTCAGGAGTTAGGTGAATCGTGAGGCGCCTCGTGTATCAGCCGTTAATAGTACCTGTCTCATACCGTCGGTGCCTCTAAAAACAGACTTTTCATCTGAATAACGAATCCCGCAGGACAGTAACGGGCCTCATGCATGGTGTAACATTGGCCGTTTTCGACACCACCAGTACTTCATTTAGACTCCAGCTTGAATCTAAAAACACGGGGTCGGCGACAAAGTCGAGCCGTGGAGGGCCCCGCACGATGTCATCCACTCTATGCCCACTCGCCCACTAGTATTGTTGGGGCTTCTTGGGGTTTAGACGGGGTCGTGAACAGACCGACAGGCTAGACTCTGCGTGGCAAGTCATTAGGTAGCGTCGTTGTTAGAAGGTAACGCCGAGCTGAGTCCGTTGAACTCACCCCATTATGAGCTCCTGGGCTCAGGTTGCTGAGAAGCCTGAGATCCACGACTCTAGGACAGGTACATATAGTGACATCCAATTTAATGGCTAGCTTCCACTTCCAGGCACCGAGCAATCTGCAGTCTGATGAAGTCTCTGATGAATGCTACACTCTGCCAAGACTGAGCACGTTGATGCACATTATCCTTGCACGGAGATCCTTCTTCACGCTCGAACCACCCAATGCGAATTACGTACTGAGGAATCGGCCCTTGCTCGGTTAATACTTGTGAACGAGATCAGCCAAATTCCCCATCTGTCTTTGGTAGCCGGTCGCGCGACAGTTGGAGCCGTTGGGGCTGTCAACAGAGTTTGCAACTTTGCAGGACTGCTAATAAACCGACCGGCAAGTCAATTACTGAATCTCTCTGGCTGGCAGGTATAAAAAAACTCAACGTTTTTCCACTGTTTGCTTCTTCCGTTTCTGCAACCATTACGGGCAGGGCAGGACGGAATTCGGCAGAGACCGGACCGGTGTTTGTCGCGGTCTTGACCTCTAACCTCAAGGCACTCAACTATCGCCGTTCCCGTTGGCTCCCGTTGCAGCCCACAACAGGTCTCATTCGCCACCCGCTCTCGGCGCCGGACTTGGCATCCTGTTAGCAGCGCGGATAATTGCTTGAGGTTTGAGATTATCGAACATGACACCTTCTTCTGATGGTTGGTGGAGAGGCTTTGATTGAGGCGGCTAAACTTGACTTGCCTCTGTGCAATTTTTCTCTCTTTTTTTTTTCTCTCTCTGTGTCGTTTTCCTTCTCGTATGTTCACTTCTTGGCTACCGGAGTTGGCGATGATACATAGTACATAATTAAGAGATAATGGCGCCTGGTCTTGGCGTGTGGGGATAACATCGACCTTGTGAATTGAACCCGTCGACAGCCGTTCAGGCTCAGGTTGAGCCGGTGCTATTCGCTGATTATCGTCTTAGTGGACCATCTCTGAGTCTCGCCAAGTCTTATCCCCCCTCTGGTCCACTTCTCGCTTCGACTTTGTTCGGCGTAACTCCGTCCTGTGGCGAGGTGATTCCTGCTTGTTGTTCTTGTCTTGACAGGCGTACATAGTGCATGGGGGAAGATATCGTGACCAGTACATCTGGAAATATCTGGTTGCATCATGGTGGTTGTCGCTGTTCTCGGTGACATGGGATGTTCAGGGTTTACTTTTGCCAAGCTGCAGGCATTCCTGTTGCTCATAACAATAGCCTGAGGCATCTATGATGTATTGACGTGGATAGTTACTTACCTATTTCTGGTATTCTACCTTGGGACTCGGTTTAACGTACTGCCGAAAGTCCTATTTATCGATTACAACAGAACAACGATTTGATAGGATAAGTAGTAGGTAGGTATGTATGATAAGATACAGAGCATTAGCATAAAGCTACTCGATAACGTCTGTTAAGGCTCCTGTCCTGGTAAAAGAGTACCGCTTATGCTAGGAGCTAGTGCGAACGACCATCGTGATTTACGGACATTTTTTGGACCAACGTCGTCATACATTATCCCAAGCGGAGTTAAAAGCTGATGGGTTACACACAGCCAGCTTATTAGGCTCAGTTTCAACAGAAATATCCTACTGACCGCTTCGACTTTAAGCGTCACATCACCATGTGCAGTAAATATTAGTTCGAGACACGGACAAAAAGGTCCTCGACGTGCTCAAATTGCTGCATGTCTTCGATTTTAACCGTCATTTTTGATGCAGTGAAATCTATATACAGGGTAAGTTCCACAGAAGAAGCACCAGCGAATGGGGCAGCTACAGGGGACATCAGTGGTCAGTACCACCTGGACATGTGCCGTGACCAATGACATAGCGCGCTGCAAGCCCCAGACAGCGATTTGAACCAGGAACGGGGGCCTCGATCAGTAAATTGATGATTAACGTCACGATCTATTGGAGGCGGGCCCAGTGACGCACCTCTTTCACACTCTGACAGCACGGTTCCCGACCTCTCTTTACCTGCCACGCCCGACTCCTGACTCTGAGGCCTGCCTGCGACAGGCGCAGCTTCGGTCGCGTGAGTTCTTGATTTGACCACATGATACGGATAGTTTCATATTCAACGGACATTTATTGATCCTGCCAGCTCAACCCAAGGTAACTCACTGAAGCAAGAACCTTGTCTACCTTACCTACCGTCTCCTCGACTGTCTTCTGAAGTCCACCGTTTCCTTTCTTTGCTTTTTGTCACATTGTCTCGTGTCTGCACGAGATCGGCCCCTCAGCGCCTTTATCTTGCTTGCTTGTAATAACCATTCTCAGATACCCAGGTCGCCGACGGATACAGCCCCTGCCACCGTCTTCGTCTGTTAGCAACACAACTGCCGTGTTGCAATTGTCTGAGTTCGCATTTTACACACTCCCCGCATCCGGACTCCTACCTACGGCAGCTAGATAGCAACGTCCTTAAAGCATCGAGTGTCTCCTCCAGATTCCAGATTGTCAAATTTGTTACAATAACTCCTTGTCTAACGCCGCTGTGATGGGCGCGGAAGACACTGGGGGTGGTGGGCTAGCAGCCTCTCCCTCATCCTCCAATACACGAAGAACCGGAGGCATCCAGTCTATCGCTCAAGGAGCCAACACACAAGGCTACGACGAACAATCACCTCTACTAAACAATGACGCCAACAATGTACATAGGGAAGCGGACGATTCACAGGTCACAAAGAGCATATGGTATTTGCTCATATTGACCATCAGCATCGGTGGTCTCCAGATCGCATGGTCTGTTGAGCTTTCAAACGGATCACCATATCTTCTATCTCTTGGCTTGAGCAAATCTCTCATGGCTCTCGTCTGGATTGCTGGACCCTTGACCGGCACCCTTGTTCAGCCATATGTGGGTATGCTCAGCGACAATTGCCGTCTGCCCATGGGTAAGAGAAAACCGTTCATGATCGGGGGATCTATTGCCACCATCCTCTCCCTGTTGTTTCTTGCCTGGGCCAAAGAGATTGTCGGTGCTGCTGCTGGACTCATGGGTTTTGACACAGAGTCTAAAGATGTGAAAACAACAACTATTGTGGTCGCAGTCATCGGCGTTTACGTGCTCGATTTCGCCATCAACACCGTCCAGGCGTCCATTCGTGCATTCATCGTCGACTGTGCGCCAGCTCATCAGCAAGAGTCTGCCAATGCCATGGCCAGTCGGATCACCGGATTCGGTAACATCGTTGGATACATTGCTGGGTATGTCGACCTGACCCGTCACCTTGGCTTCCTTGGGAAGACGCAATTCCAGATCCTCTGTGCTATCGCATGTTTTGCCCTTGCATTGACTGTGTTTGTGAGCACCGCCTTTATCAAGGAGAGGGATCCCCGACTTGACGGCCCGGCCAAGAAAGAGCAACAAGGCGTTTTCTCCTTCTTCTTCACTATTTTCAAGTCGATCAAACGCCTACCGCCTCAGATCAAGAGGGTATGCGAGGTCCAGTTCTGCGCCTGGGTCGGCTTCTTCCCTCTGTTGTTCTATACGTCCTCATACATCGGAGAGATCTATGTCGAGCCATACCTCCAAGCGAATCCCCACATGTCCCCGGAACAGCTCAACAAACTGTATGAGCAAGCGACCCGTATAGGTACCTTTGCACTTCTCATCAACTCGATCGTGAGCTTGCTCACAAATGTATTCCTTCCATTTTTCATTGCTCCAACGTACGATAGCCAGCCAGTCACCGGTATTCCGGGAGAGAGCCCTGCAGGGTACTATGACTCGGATGAGGATGAGAAGCCCTCGTGGTTAGACAAGCTGGCCATTCCTGGCCTGACTCTCAAGCGTGCTTGGTTCCTGTCCCTCCTTCTTTTTGCTGGGTGCATGTTCGCCACGCTTTTCGTCCGGACCGTAAAGGCGGCCACCGTGCTTGTTGGTCTTGTTGGTATCACCTGGGCGATGACGCTGTGGGCTCCATGGGCCATCATCAGTGCCGAGATCAGCCGGAGAGATGCCCTGATACGAGCTCAAAAGACACGATTGGCGGCCGCCAGAGCAAACAATAACGGAACCGCAGATGACGAGGAGGAAGAAATCGACCAGGCTGGAGTAATCCTCGGCATCCACAACATGGCGATTGCGGCACCTCAAATCATTGCTACTGTTGGTTCCAGTATCATCTTCAAGCTCTGGCAGAAGCCCAGAGGCACACCGGGAGACCACAGTATTTCTATTGTGTTCGCTCTTGGTGGAGCTTGTGTCCTGATCGCGTCATTCTTCGTCGCCAAGATCAAAGATGATGCTTCTATGCCAGCTGATGTTATGATCGAAGCCGAACAGGGTCGGAGTGGGACAGAAGAGGTCCCAGAACGCCGACCCCTCAGCCGGCGCAAGTCTACCAAAGACCAGCTTCCCAGAGCAACCCAGGCCCGGGCCACACTGACACGACACAAGAGTTTCGGAGGCGCCGAAATGCACTGAGAGCATCAATACACACACTCACAGAGAGAGAGAGAGAGAGAGAGAGAGAGGTACACGCCCTTGAACGAAGCATGGGAAGGCGTAGGGTAAATCATTTGGATTGGCATTTGGCTCTATTTACCAAGCCTAGGAGCATATGGAGGGATGGAATCCCGATTTTCTTTTAGTTAATTTGACAAGTGCCTAATGCTAGAAGCCCTAGGTATAATGCTGGGATATAGGTTGGATGCTAGAACCACAGTTTCATGTTTAAGCTTAGACCAAGACACCACATTCGTTCCTCAGCTCGTCTTCATCTGATACACATCGCTCAAAATACCCAAGCCTACCCATCCACCACCACCATGACGCACAACATCCGTAGCGGAGCCTTCGCCCCGAAATCAATCCATTGGGTTCGGGCCTGCTGACTTGGGACCACACGTGCCGATAGAGATCCTTGTCTCGCCAGGAAGAGGACCAAGGGTAGGATTGATGGTGGTGAAAGGGACGAAGCGAAAGCACCACAAGACATGGTCGTCCTCGCCACAGTAGCTGTAATCACAGTCGAATGACTCTTTGGGAGCAGCTGTGACGGCAGGGGCATCCGTGTTGCAAGGCTCTGGGTTGTGAGGGAGAGCCAGGGCTGTTGAGGTGAAGAGTAAGACGAGATAGCTGATGGGAAACATTTCGAAAGTTGTGAAGCTTCTGTGTCGAATTTGGGTCAATACTTTGGGTTGTCAAAGTTTCCACGAGAGGAGGGGATCTTTATAGAGAACCATGGTCAAACAAGTGCTACATTCGAGAAGGCTTCCCTGTACTCGATTCAACCAACAGGTACTTGTTTGCGTTGCAGATGGTGGTATACAACACTCACATGATACTGCAGCTGGGTTTCATCTGGACTAGAACAACAGAGAACAGGTGCAGTAGGCGAAGAGCCGCGTAAGGAATCGGCAGATGCGATTTCCTCCTACTATACCCGAGGCAAAGAATTGCACAAGGCGAATAAAGTGACCGAGAAGTGTGAGACCAGGCGGGAATCCGGAGTTCTGTACTTCAGAAGACTGAAAGCCAACAGTCTCTGGTGACTATTTAGGTACACACCGACCTTCAGGTGGCTCTCTTTCTACATGGATAGCATCTTGTTTCCAGCCTTCACCCACAACGACATAATCACTCCGATGCTGGTTACCCAAACTAAACTGCGTACCCGTGATAGTCGGGGATTATCCTGCAACCACAGGTAAGCGATGTTGTACAGGAGACGGCTCACAACATAACCGAGACCAAGGATATTGATTGTTGGCGCTGGTACAGCTGCGAAGTTTGCGGCCAAGATGCCTGCGGCATAGCAACCGATAGTTTCGAGGCCGTTTTCTGTGGCAGCTTTTGCACGGAGGAGGAATTGTTTATGCTGGGATCGTCAGTGGGAGTTGTGGGCGAGAGATGGACAATCAGACAACCAAACCTACAGATTTATCAAGAGTCTGGCAACTGGCGATTCTGTCCTTGTGAGAGCGAGGGTTACAGTTGTCGTAGGTCCCTTTGGCACCTGCGGTGATGGTGTAGGCGTGAGGGAACGTGATGATGAAGAATGCAGCTGGGACCTGTAGGATGCATTAAGTTGAGATGTCATTGATCACGAGGGGAGGAGAGGGGGAGAAGGGTCATACTGTGAAGAAGGAATAGTTCCTTGTGAGATCGAGACCGAGAAAGGACTCCATTGTGGTTGATAGGGAGGGAGTCGTACTGTGATGAAGAGAGAGCTCAATTGAATTGTTTGATGAATGATGAATGATGAATGATGGATGGAAACCTCTGGTTTAAATCACAAAACAACAACAACAAAACTGTTGAGAGCAACGAATATCTGATGAGACTGAATCATCGTGAGTTTCAGGGAGAATTATCAAACTTGTCCGACAGTTTAATAATCAGGCGTAGCTGTTGGTTATTAGACCCGCTTCGAGTATGATGAACATGCATGCCATGTTGAGTTAGCATAACGTTTAGGATCAACCCAAAGGCCCAAGTGAGGATAACGACTGTTGAACAACGTGACAACTGCTCATTCAACTCTACTGATGTGTCATGGAATTCAATGTTATTCCTAACACGATATGTAGACGAAAGTAACATCCGCCCATCCATCCATCCAATGTTATGTCTACAGTCATTCATTATGCCAATCACAAGAAGAGGTAAAAACCTGGCCATATCGGGTTTGGTGTTTCCATCCCCAACACCGCTAACGTCGATCAATATGACTAAGAAACAGGGGCAATCTCAACGCCTTTCAACATCATCAGCATTCCCCTTCTCAAAACTGCCCCCCCCCTGGTGATCTATCCACGTTCAGCACTCACACGGCAGAAAACGCCCAAAGTAGGCTCGTAAGACTTGCATTGCTAAATACTTCATATGCTCGCATGGTCATCAACCACTTGTAGCCAAGAGATGACTATATATATGTATGTACTGAGAAGAGTAAAGGTTGACATAAGAAATCTAGAATCGAAAATGCTTTGACAGATGTTCAGTATCTGTTAAAATGTCATGTAAAAAACAGCCGCCACCGCCGACCCATGTCTTTCCTTGTTGTGTCTGGGGGTATCTCATATGTTTGTTAAGGTAAGAAGCTCGACCTGCTCATGCAAGATATCGCTTCGAGATGACGGATCGCTTGGACCCGACTCGCCAACCGTTTCCGTCCCAGCTTGTGGTGCTGCTTGATTGGGGCTTGCTAGTCTTGTAGGCTCCGGGGCCATGGTACTGGCCACTATCGTAACTTTGGCCAGTGCTGTAGCCACCGCCTTGGCCTTGCTGCTGCTCAGGGGAATAGCTGTTGCCTTGGTCTTGGCCTTGTTGACTGTCAGGAGAGTATCCGTCACCGTTTTGGGTGCCTTGTCCTGGCTGAGTGCTGCTGGGTGGGTTGGTCTGGCCATCACCGTTTCCGCTCTGGCCGTTACCACTGTTGCCATTGCCACTGTTTCCGTTGCCCGAGTTTCCATTACCCGAGTTTCCGTTACCGGAGTTGCCGTTGCCAGAGTTGCCGTTGCCAGAGTTGCCGTTGCCAGAGTTGCCATTGCCAGAGTTGCCGTTACCACTGTTACCACTACCGCTGTTACCGCTGCCAGAGTTGCCGCCACCGGTGGTTCCGTTACCGCCACCACCACCACCGCCGCCGTACGAGCCTCCCTGGACGTAAACCTTGATACTGTTTACAAGCCAGTAGGCGTTCTTGAAGTCGGCCGGGTTGTTGGCAACATAGTCCTTGCAGTCTCCCAAAGACGAGGTCTCTGGGTTCTTGCCCCAGACATCGGGGGAGCCAGCCCAATCACCGCAGAAAGTGGTATCAAAGACGATGTTGTTCTCCTTGAAGTGATCGTCGATGTTGCAGCCTTTACCGCCGTTGAACTTGGCAGCGGGAGGACCCCAGGATGAAGGGGTTGGGCTGCCGGACTGGATATCTTGCGGGATGCGACCACGGTGGAAGAACCATACAGCAATGTGGTCGGATGTCCACTCAGTGGCGTAGACTCCGCCGCCGATGTCATTGAAGCCATCGCCGTAGTTCTGGTTGTCTGAGGTGTTCTGGCCACAGCCGGCGGCGGCACCAGCAGAATCGCAGTCTTCGGACTCGAGGGTGGTGCCCTGGGTGGTGCCATCGTTGGTGATGCTGCAGCCAGGTCCAGTGTGGAGACTGATCTTGTTCTCGGTCTGAGTGTTGACACCCTCGAGGATATCAATCTCGCCAGAGGTTGGCCAGTTGGGACCGAACATCCAGTATGCGGGCCAGACACCGGGGATGCTGCCAGGCATATGGGCAATATCGGCGACGAAGAGACCGTGAGTGAAGGCGTCGTGAGAGGTGACGCGGACAGACCTTCGGCCGTTGGAGGGGTTCTTTGTCTGGTAGTCTACGCCCATGTAGACAGCACCATCGACATAGCCAGCCAAACCCTCAGAGTTGGCGGCGTCGGCGTCGACGTAGTCGACAAAGCCGTGTGTGGGATCTTCTTCATTGAAGAACTCAAAGGCCTCGAAAAAGTTGGAAGAGTCGTATGTGGTCTTGAGGGAGTACTGAGAGTACGAGTTGTTCTGTGCAAACGCACCGTTGAACAAGGCCGTGAGGCCCAGCGCGAGGATGGAGGAATGCATTGCTTCTGAGAGGGGAGGAGTCTTTGGAGAAGAAGAATTAAGACAAGAAGAGGTGTGTTGTTTCTAGTCAATGATTCGCAAGATCGATTCTGATTTGAAGCTGAAGTTTTCGAGTGTGAAGGAGAGAACGCGATCAAGTCGTTCACAGAGACAGACGTTGTACCAGAGCGAGGCTGATGCCCCGAGAAGGTCGAGTGCAATGAACAAACGATTTATAACAATGGATCCGTGAACTACCATTCATCACCTATTGTCTGAACGAGAGAATCCCCAGCCAAAAGTGGAGGGAGGGCTGGAGGGGGAGGCTATTGAAGTGAGTGACAATAGCTCTGACACTGACGTTGCCAAGGAGGTAGGTAAGGTTAGGTAGTCCAGCGATATAATTACTGCTCCTAGTCAATAGGAAACCAGCAACGAAACCAAGGCAAGGCAAGGCAAAAGAGAGTGGATGGAAGAGAATGATAAAACAAGGACGGTCAGCCAGCTACCGAAAGGATTGAACGGTGATGGCGACGAATGCAGCCAAGAAAGAAGTCAAGGAGTGGATGTGTCTTCTCCAAGTTTCCAAGAACAGCTCAGCCTCAGAGTAACCAGACACTGAAGACGGAAGAAGCCAAGTCAAAGGAAAGTACAAAGAGAGAGACAGAATGAGAGAAAGAGAGAGAACGAAAAAAAAAAGAGTGAGGTTGGTTATGGTCTAGTAAAAGGAAGGGCTTCCAAGGAGAGGAGGGAATGCGGGAGCTATGTATAAGTTTATGTCTCTGATATGGACCGGAATGTCTTACAGCCTCTCCTTTCGAACGCCAAGCTATTTTGAGAAACGAGACTAGCCATGTTTCTTTGTTGCTCTCCCACCCCTTGTCTCGTTTGGGGCCTTGGGCGCGCTGTGTTGCTTGCTGCTTGCTTCTATCAGTTCATGCTCAGAGAGATCTGATGGATGCTAGTGCCAGTGCTCGTGCATGCTAAAGATTCCGAAACAATAGCCAAGGGGGGCCTTGAACAAGCCAGGACTCTTCATATCATAGAGTGCCGCCAATAGAATCTCCCACAACCACTTTTGTCCAGAGGCTCTAATGCGTAGCTTGACAGTTCCGATTCAGAGAGGGCCAAGGCCAATCACTCCAACGGAGAAAAAGCTTAGCGGAACCATATACGGCTTGGCGCGCCTGGACATGGCCGGTTCAGGCAGGGAGACGGATATGTCGAGGCCTGTGATAGGCCCACGTCAAGTAGACGAGCGGGTTCAGGGGTTTGCATCCACTAGAGAGCACGCTATCTGACAGTGGAGTGACTGGATGTGCGTGGCAGGGGGGGAGGGGGGTAGTGTTTAGTGAGTAAGTAGGTCGTCAATGGAGCTGGAGGGCTCAGATGGGATGAGAAACAGCTGACGACGAAACAGAAACATTCCCGCTCAGCTGGGTACCTAGGTAGGTAGGTTGTATTTGTTTGCTGGAATTCTCTATTGTAATACATTGATTGACCATGCGAATGCTATTGTTCTTGAATTCGTGAATCATACATATACTGCTATACATGTGCCAGTCTATCAGGGACCCAGACCTTGGTATCCATAACAGCGCTTCTACAAGTAACTGTACATATAGCCGCGCGCTCAACTCGTTTCCTTCCCTGTCTCTCCACCTGATGCCATCCATCCATAACTTTAGGAGGTAGGGGAGTTGAAAGCCCAATCCAACAAGCAAACAAGCAAGCAAGCAAGAACAAAGAATATCCAAACAAAGCACTCGGCATATAAATCACACACTTACATACATACATAGCCCAACTCACCCCAAATAACCTGATCCTGAACCCCCGTCTTGAATCGCTCATATTTAAGCTAGGCTGAATTCATTCCTTACCAAGACATTTCAGTCACTTAGCCTCGACGCGCGTTATCCAGCCGCCGCCACACTCATGCAAACAATGACCTATTCTGAAACATGGTCTCAGGAATGGAAGCAAGACTAGACCTTTCTATCCCTTCTCCCTACCTACTACCTACCTACCTACCTACCTACCTAGTACCTACAGTAGTTCCTCTTTTGGACACTCACACACATATGTGCTCACGCTGCTGACCTCACCGCAGAACCTTTCTGCCACCTCCTTTCTCTCCCATCATCTACGATACTCCAGCATTTCCACTTGAACCTTCAAATTCGATAAAAATCTGCTACTCCTGAAACTTATGTACACATCGTATCTGTACTTTCCTGACGAGGTTAGTCTGCTTCAACGGGCGGAGAATCAACTCCTCGTCTATTCTTCCGTGCCGTGGTCCCGAACTCACATCGCATCCCGGCAGTTATGATCTCGGCTCTATAGAATAGACGAACAAGATCGACGCTCTTCTCAAGGTCCAGGCTGCCAGGGCCACCCACCCTGACAACCTCCATCTTTTTAGACTTTTAGAATGTCGTGATATTTCCCCTGATTGTATGTGGTCTCGCTACGCATATTGTATCAGCTTGATCTGTGTCTGGGATTATCCTTGCCTAATAACCATCCATCACTTCCGGAGGATCTCACTCATTCGACATAAAACAGTTTCACTCCATGC